AAAGATATACAGAATAAATAGATATAAATAGAATAAATAAAAACTTAACATCAGAATGTTAGCATTGCAATGTTAAGCATTTAGCGTGCTGACATTAGCATTTAGCTCAGTGTTGTGTCACAAAGCCGCTAGCATGACTCTCTGACTCATGAGACAGAACTGTGGTGCACATTATTAGAAGTAGTCACAGCCACATGAGCACAATTCATCCATAAAGACACTGTGTACTCAAAATTTATGGATAATACAAATGTTCCTGTTTGCTGTCTGTTGTGATTTTTGCTTCTGCTGAGTAATACTATTAGATAAGTAGAAAATCTCATCGGCTACAATCTAAATCTCGCTGCATATGTATGGGAAGAACATGTTTAACTGTGCAAATGCAATCCCTCGGGACATTGTTTGGTTTGTAAACAGTTTTATCCCACAGTTTAAGTCCACAGATATGTTTTCCTTCTTGTTTTTTTGGCCTCAGGAACACAGTAAGGAATTGTGATGCTTTTCTGTCTCTTTTCTGGTACAGAGTTTAGATCTGTTTCCGCAGACGCAGCCTTGTTTTCCCATGCAAATGCAGAGGGAAAGAATGAAGGAATCCCCTGTTAAAGGACCATGCGTAATGCCATAGGTCACAGGTCACACTAGCTGTATCCTATTTCCACAAACACAGTAGAGTGAAGATGACAGCCAGCTTGAGCCACAGGCTGCTGGAGATGCTCTTAGAAAACACAAAACGCATATTCATACAAGCTGCAAGAAAACCAGCCTTTCAGAAACCATACCACGATTATGTTTTGAAAATATGGCCAAAGGGGGAGCAAACTATGTTAGGAATTTCCTGTGGGAGAAATGACAGAGTAGCATGCATTTCTGCTCCCCCTGTGTATTTTCTGAACAGGTTTCAATCCTGCTTTATTGTATAATTTTATTATTAGTTAAATAGTCTGTGATACACTGTATTCCTATGGGCAATACGTGTTTAAAACGGATATGGTTTAAAATATTTAGCCCAGATGGGATTAATTCACATTTGTGTGCCCCTTAGGGAGTTATTAAAGTATATATCTCCATTTTATGTAGCTAGGTTTATTTATTGCCATTCATTTGGCAGGAGATGCAAACACACTCATTCCTGCCTGTGCCCACCATCTGTTTCAGTCTCAGCTCAGCCAGCCCTGCTCACTCCCCCAAAGAGGAGTATGTTATCACCCAGTCCGCTGACACCCCTAAAGAAGAAACAGTCCATGATCAGTCTGAAGACCAGGGGGAACCTCGGGATGACAAATCTGAGCTGACAGAGAAAAAATCTGTCACAGGTTGGTTGGCTGCACATCAACTCTTGTAGAGCAAGATACGATGCATTGAATTGCTGAAAAAAAAAAAATAAATAAATACCTCCCTTGCGTCATCTCCCCTGTGCCTCTCTTCCTTTCAGAGGAGGTGTCTCTGTGTGGATTGTGTCCCTCCCTCGGGCATGATGGGCAGGAGGAAGAGAAGTCCTGGGAGGAGCAGCTGGACGCCCACCAGGAGCAGCTGGAGAAGGAGATGCAGGAGGCCAGGAGGATGGTGTTCCGCCTCCAGGTAAGTCCACTTAAAAAACAAGCTGCACCACTTCTGTGAACACATGGACAGAGGGCACAGATGCACCAGAGGAAGATAACAGCTTAAATATAGCATACAGTGAGACTTTAGCCAAATCACCAGCCACATCTCAGATTTGTTTAGTAATTCTGATGAATGAAGTGAAACAAAACACAGCAGCTTTTAGATATTTTAGACTTTTCCTTATTCAACAATGACAATCAAGGATTTACACAAGGACATATGGAGTTACACATGTAAGACAAGAAAGAGAAATAAAGTAAGTGTACAGCAACACTTGTAATTGATATCAAACTCTGGGTAAATGCAATATTATATGGAAGAATATGATGAGAAAATAAATGAGCCAATTTTACAAATGAGAAAAAAAAACAAGCACACTAAAAGTTATTCAAAAGCAATTATTTTCAAGATTTGGAGGCTTATTTTATATATGTAATCTGATACAATTACTAATTAATTGTTAAAAATTGAAGTCAATAACCTAATCCAAGAATCACAATATTGAAGTAACAATATGCAAATAAAGAATGACGTGTATTCTATAAGAATACGAAACAGAACAATGTAACCTAATAAAGTGGAAACCAAGATTTTTTGCATCAATAATGTATCCTCTGCTCAGTGTTTTTTTTAACAATCTCTTATAGACATGTATTAGGACATATATACAATAGTATGCTTGGAACAATGATGTGTGTCTGATAATTCTTTCTGCCAAAAACACATTTAAATCCCTAAAAGGGACTCTACTTTGACTACCTCATTAAAAATCTATGAATATGCAAAGTGTGTTGGTTTATAAAGATTTCCTTCTGGACACAAAATGTCTTCCACTTCATTGTATAAGTCCATTCTCACTCACACTTCTTCACACTGGTGGTATCAAGTTTCTGCAGTTGCATACTGTACCAGGATTGACTTCCAAACTAATCACACACAAAAAATGCCCCTTTAAAATCAGATTTAGCACAGAGAAACATTCCAGTTTCAGCAGATGAATCTGAAAACATCCTAGTGTCGAACTCTGCACATACATTATTCTGCACGGCGAACAAGAAGAAAACTATATTTTTGATTGGAGGGGAACTTTAAAGAAAATCGTGCTTCTCATTAAGCAAATTCAGGCGGTAACTTACAGCCCATTTTCATAGCTGGAAGGCATAACTTACACTATACTGTGATGTTCTTACCTTTTTTGGTACGTGACTTTCTTACATATAATATGTTGCTCCCAAAGCCTGATTATTATTTTAATAAACTTGACTTAACTATTGGTTAACCCTTCAATGCTTTTGATTATTCAGTCTGATTATCAAGGTAGAGTTTTTATTTTGTGAGGTGAATATGTTTGTGTATATACGTAGATGTGTGCTTTTCAATATAATTTCATTTGATGAAGTTTAATTCAGTTCAGTTACTGGTTTTATTAACTGAAATGGGAAACTTGTGCAGCCAATAATCCCAAACTGTTGTATTTACAAAAACAAACAGAGAAATAAATCTGCCATCTCTGCCATGTAAATTTAATATAACTGCTCTGAGGCATTTACACTTTGTGTCTACATATATATAAATATATCTGTGTGTGTGTGTCCTCAGGCTTTGCTGCTCCATGGCTCACTCCCTGAGGAGGACCAGGATGGATCTGTGAGCTTCGGAGATAACCGGGCTAACACCGAACAGCAGCTGGTACAGTGCACTCTCTCTGCTAACTCGAGAAAACAACACTTGCTCGCCGCTCTGTGTGAAGTGTCAGTGTCAGCCCTTCTGTTGTGATGATGTTTGCAGCCATCACTCCTCTTGAGAGTGGCTACTGTAGAGCACAATTGAATCTCTCTGATCTGCTAGCCCGCTGTCATGCAGGCCCACTGCCTCCTCATACGTTCTGACATTTTTCCATTCTCTAATTACGCTGCTCATACCCTCTCCCTTTGAAGGTACTAATCCGCAGTCGTCTGGACCAAAGCACGGAGGAAGCCCTTGATCTCAAGGTACAGTAAGTAAATGTAATTAGGTTTAATATAGATGAGCTGCCTTACAAGCAGAGAGCCCCTTTCTCTAACGTCTCTGTTCGTTTGTGTGGCTCTTAGAGGGAACTCCTGAGACACAAACAGGAGGCACGCCACCTTCAGGCCATCAAGGTAAACCTCTTACTCTAATTTTGTCCTTTGTGTGTGAATTAAAATGGATTAAAGGATATAATTCAATCTATTCCAACTCTTCTGCTATCCTGAACTGACGGCTCTGCATTCTTATCACACGCAATATGCATTTTTTTAAATTTCTTTTACAAAGATAATAAAGTTCAGAGGCAGGTGGATCTGTATTCAGGTCTTCTCTGGACGTTTCTTTGATCTCCCTCTTTCTCATTAGGATGCTCTACAGCAGCGCCTGGCAGTGCAGGAGGATGCTGTGCTGCAGCTAAAGCAGGAACTGCTGAGGTGCAACATGGCCAAAGATCAGCTGGAAGGGGAAAATGTGAGACAAGTGAAGATTTCCGTTTGACACGATAAAATATTTGACCCGCTTGACCTGCATGGATCCAGGTTTATGTGAAAGCAACATAGTACTCATATATCATTGTGATATATCTGTTTGCAGGCAGACCTCAAACACAAGATGAGTGAACGGAACAAATTACTCTCTGAATATGAGGTATTGTCTTTTATTATTTACACTTCAATGCATTTGTTGGATATATACATGCATACACAGACTTGTGTCATCCATCTCTCTTGTCACAATAGCAGCAGCTCGGGAGGAAGGACAGAATACTGCAGCAACAGAAGTTCGACGAAGCTCATAAAGCACATGAAGTCACCCATGGACGGGTAATGATCACAATGTGTTTTTCAGCAATATATGTATTTGGATGTAAATTAGATATATAATAATTATTATATGTATTTATACAGAATTTTTCAAAACCAAGGTTACAAAGTATGAAAATATAAAATTGAATAAGGTAACAAAAGTCTTTCTGGAGAAATATAGTTGATTCCTGAGTCTTGTTGAGGGCGGTTTGTGCTCCCAGGTCGTCAAACACCAAGGCTTTGGGTTGCCAAACTGTTTGACGACCTGGGAGTGAGACTCAATAATCAATCAACTTTTGCCCAGAATGACTAACAGTAAAATTAATTCCAGTAATATGAGATAAAAGAAACGAAGAGAATAGTTCAAGTAAAAAAATATAATATAATATATAAGATATTTGAGGGATAAATTCCAAGAATACGTCATAACCTCACTTCTTCCCAATGACCCCATCGTCTCTGTGGCTCTCAGCTCCAAGCCCATTGGTTCCTACAGAATACAAAATAACATAATTTCTAAAACAGCTGCACACTGCATTGTTAAGCAAACGTTACTCAAATAGGAATAAATAGTGGATTTGTAGTGGACAGCAGCAGGACTCAAAATAAAATAAAGTGCCAGTGTTGATTCTAATAATCAAACTCACTGATTTGTTTTAAATTGTTGTTTTATGGCAACAATGGATGCTTATAGCATAAAGGAATATGCTTTATCAGGCTTCGCATACACAGGTCTGGTTTTTGTTCTTTTCATGGCATTTGTTGATAATAACATAACTACATAATATCACCAGACTCATCCTTTAAAAGATGACAATGAGCCTGCCTTATTTATCTACACACATGTATTGTTGTCCATTTTGCAGTCATTCAGGAGTGAAAGCGGTGGTTACAGTAACTCGGTGGCTTCAACATCTCCTGCAGCCTTCCAACACAGGGCACCAGTATGTACTCTTTTCTATTTCGGTCTTTAATCTACTATGAATTGCTGTTTATTGAGTTCATTTTGATGGCTTATTGTATGGAAGCAAATGTATGGTAGGACAAGAAAAAATAGACGAAAAGTTATGTGTGACAAAAATAAAATACTCATGGTAAATCATAATTATAATATTAAAAAAATCATAAAAATGATTAAGTTCTAGGTCAAAGTTATCAGATACTAAGTCAAAACTTAGACTTATTAACTCAAACTTAGATAAGTTTAAGATAAGCTAAAATAAGTCAGACATTTAACTCAGTATCACAACTTTAAATCAGTGAGTTAAATGTTTGACTTAGTATGTCATATTTTTGACTGACCATGAGTATTTGGTGGAAATGTGCTTCCATACTTGTATATATCTTATCTTCCATAAAAAAGGCTACATTTAAAGAAGCTGTATGAGTATCAAGAAGCTGTTTGTTACAGGGGGAAGAGCTGCAGCTGGTCAGGGAGGCACTGCGTAGTTTGAGGGACAGCTTTTCCGGCCATGACCCCCAACATCACACCCTGGACACCCTGGAGCAGGGTGTGTCCAGCCTCATGGACCGATTACACTCTTTGGACACCCAGCGCAGACAGGACAGAGGGGTACGCACGCACTTTGACACACAATTTCAGAGTAAAACAAAAAATGTATTCCACTCTTCACCGTGAGTAATTGCTGCTTCTTCTAGGAGGAATTCAAATCGCCAGGACGCAGAGCCAACTCCACAGACCGTGACTCCTGGCCGCAAAGCTCCAGTGAGACAAACAAAATCTTTATTTTGTTTAGGATTTGTCATCCTCTGCAACATCTCAACCCTGGCTGTTGAATCAGATTATGCTGTTCAATTACACTGCTATGTATGGAGAGGACATTATTGTCTGTGAGGCTAGAGCCATTTTAGACTCTGGTTGTGAAAAACAGTTGCTGTGTTTGTAATTATTTCCAGAAATGGCCCACTCACACAGCAGCCCGGGATTGGACACGGCCGTCTCCACTAAAGTGCTCTACTTCACTGATCGCTCGCTCACTCCGTTTCTGATTAACATCCCAAAAAGGTGAACATAAAAATGCTTTATGGTGGTTTTATATAACAGCATTATTGTTTGTTCCCTCACTGTACCGTGCATGATTTCTAAGCAAATTGCTGTTTTGGTTAGAGCTGCACGCTGAGGGACACGTGGCTTGATTCAGGCACAACCAGAGCTATGCATAGATGCTTCACCATTTGTGCTGGTTAAATGTTTATCCTAGACGAGCTTAATATCCATGTGGGTGTAAGTGTACATAGATCATGACTAACAGCGTGCTCTTACAGGCTGGGTGAGGTGACTCTGCGAGACTTTAAGGCCGCTGTGGACCGACAAGGCAGTTTCAGATACCACTTCAAGGCCCTCGACCCGGAGTTTGGCACAGTGAAAGAGGAGGTAGGCGTGGGAGTCAAATTATAGTCCCTACTTCTTTTCACTTCAGCTTCAGCAGGCAAATATGAAATGGCAGTTACAGAGAGTAAGATATGCTAATAATAGCTGTGGCTGCGATATACTTCAAACCACTGCAGGAGGATGGATCCATCCCAGAGAATTTGATAACACAATGTAGTAATTGTCACTTTCTATCTATACCTTTGTACATTACAAATGTGAGTGCTTCTTGGATATGTAAATGCTGCGTGTTGGCTGTGCAGGTATTCCAGGACGGAGCAGTCGTGCCTGGCTGGGAAGGGAAGATTGTAGCGTGGGTGGAGGAGGACCACGGAGAGAGGAGGTAGAGCCCAAAAACCAGAGATCACCACTACAAACCTCAGTTGTTCCCACTGGACCAGGATTCCACTGAAAATACGTGTGATGCCATAATAGAGAAAAGGTTATAATGCTATTAACTGGGACCAATGGATCGAGCACCATCTCGATACAAAACCATGTTTTAAAAGTGAATGTTTCATATGAAGAATTTGACTTGACATTTTGCAGCTCATTAATGGTCAGTAATGTGATACTTGAAACTGGATTATAAAAGAAAGTTAATGAGATTTGCAATAAATAACACATTATAAGCTGTGCTCTAAAAAGCTGTAATCAGTGCATAGTATGCCACCCTTAAAACAAAAGTGTTTACTGACAATTTTCACACGTTCCAGATTGCCAAATAGTGATGTTGTTGTTCTGCATCAATTTTGATGTTTTAATAAACATGAATTATTGCATGGATCATTTTGTTGTCAATTATTCCCGGAGTGTACAGTAATGACACTGTACAACAGCTCCTAGCCATTATACACCTCCACTCATACGCCCACACGTTCATAAACAAACCCCACAGATTGTCATTAAAGTCAGTTAATTTTTTTTGGGGTTAAGAATTACATTTGCTGCTGCAGGTCAACCCACACAGCGACATGTTTGCTTCAGTAAAAACATCCTTTTGGTTTTGGGAAAGGATCTGTTTACAGGGGGACTGATAGTTTGTTAGCTGAAGTTTCAAGTTCCTCCATGGTATAATGTGTTCACACAGCTTTTCATATTGCATAGCAGGAATTTAGTTTTTACTTTAAGGCATTCCCAGCAGGACTGATCACCTCTGTGTACATCTGTTTCCCCATTAAAGCATATGGTCAGACAATATCCACTCTCAAAGTAAGTCTTTGTTTCTTCTTGTTAAAGATGGCGGTAGCAGTGTCTTCATTTACAGGTGTTGGGAATTCCAAAAGCAAACGGTAGACATCCTCCACTTCCAGTAAGACGTCGTCCTGCGGAGAAAAATTCATTCAGCACACTGTAAGACTCGCAAACATAGAAACAGGCCAATTATGTATTTTTCATGACATCCAACTTCGCACCGACACACTCCGGATTCTAAAGTGGTTCATTATAACTGTTCAAGGGAGTGTGTAACTGCTGACCTTGGAGATTCTCAGCTGGCAGTCTGACATGGAGCAAACCTTTGGCAGCTCCACTGTCAGCTCCATGCTGCGAGAGACTCCTGCTGTATCTGTCTTCACCTCAAGCTGGTACTCTGGCTTCTGAGGCTGCACGAATGTGGTAGAGATGACCTGGATCAAACCCGTCTTTTTGTGCTCCGTAGGTCTGCAGATAATTTGGGCTGCCGGGTCGTCATCTTGTTTCTCTGAGTGTAGAGAGGAGATCTGCTGCAGAAGGGCAGCTGGGGTCTGACTGGCTGTAAAAAGGGAATGCTATGGATTATTAGAAACTGTGGTAGACGGTGAAAGAGGATACTCTTGCAGCAGCAAAAGAAAATAGCTCCAACTTAAAGGGCTTGTTGCAGCTTATCGGGGTATAAGACTTATTGCTCTACCTATGTTCGGTTGTTTGGAGGTGTTCGGCCACTGCTGAAACCCAAGCCGGCGATACAAATCATCTGGGCTACTTTTTGGGCAACAGCTGACGACCGTGTACCGTTGAGATAACCTCATCCCATGCTGCTGCTGTGCAAAGCTCATGGCCAGCATATAGACTTCTGTTTTGTCTTTCTTCATTTTCTGCAGCACTGCTGGGTTTAACGCCACATCCAACACTGTGTAGCAACCTGCGAAGGAAAAAAGACCAGTTTATTAATTGTCTTGTTTACATGATGTAACACAAAGGCCAGTTCTGTAGTGATGCGGCACAGCTTTGTCTTTTACCTTGACCTTCATTTGTGTCCGTTTCCAGCTTTCCTGCACAAACAGGTAATGGCCTGCTGGGATCCTGAGGTGCAGGCACACGTTTCCAGCTGCATATATTGATGTACAGCGACCCTTTCTCGGGCTCCTGTAGAGGACACAGATGCACCGTCTGTCAAGAAATACTGTCAAAACACACCCTATCTCTGACCTATTAAACAAACACAGCTTCACCGTGTGTAGTAAAAGTTGTTCGTTTTGTATTAAGGGGCAGATAGTAGAGCTGAATCTATTTAAATTAATTTATTATCAGTCAATCAGCAGACAATTAACTGGTGGCAATTCTGATGATCCATTATTTCTGTAAACGTTTACTACATTTAGCCTCTCAAAAGAGAATATTTTCTGGGTTTCTCAGTCTTTTGAAAGCAAAGAGAATATTTTCATTTCTAAATTTTGGTTTGGACAGAACACAAATTTGTACCGAAGATGTTACAAATGCCTTTGGGAGCTTGTGTTTTTCATTTTATAGCCCAAACGAGTACATTAAGCAACAATTTAAAGAAAATGTTTAATCGCAGCTCTAGAAGACAGACAGTGCTCAAATCAACCTGACTTTTGTCACAAGAGGTGTAACATGGTAATATAATTAATAATGGCTGCTTTTGACCCATCAGATTCTGTGACAAATTGTAATGAAATGTGTGATTTTTTGGATGCTAGAGGGTGAAGAAAGGGTGAGACAGAGGACAGGACAAAGGGCTGAGCAGATATTCAAAGGTGAATTGTTAATACAGACCTCTACACTACAGTTTCACTATCACAACATGTCAAAATATGCTACTCCCTGTATCTATGGGGGCTTTATCCCAGGTTACAAAATGTGGTGCAACACCTGTATTACCGAGGTTGTGGGAGGGAGCCATCATTAATGAGACACACCTGTGCTGCCCTGCTTTGACGTAAAATGCTCGTCGTGAGAAAGTCGTTTCTGCAGGATGGATAAGCTGAATTAAATGTATGAAGGCTCACCTCTATTTCAGTGCACAGACTGGAGTCGAGCTCAGGCGGTGCACTGAATTCAGCTCCTTCCTTCATCTGTTTCTCCAGGAGCTTGCGGTAGGCTGCAGGGTCATTCTGAGAGAGGTCATCCAGCATGGACCAAAACTGGTTGACCTGCTTCAACACATCCTCTGTGCTGCCAGTGGACGACATCTTCAGGTGACCGCCTTACTTTGGAGTTAAAACAAACACTAGCCAGTAGCGAACTAATAATAACTTGCACAGCGTTTAAGTTAGAAAACCAGCTCGTCTACGGTGTTGCTGATAAAAGATGCTCTAAATGTTAAAAAAAATAGAGCTGGAGCAATGGCATACACGTTTAAGAAACTTTCTGTCTAATTATACGAACGACTAACGCAAGCTTAATTAGCTAATGTTGTCAGTTGCTATGGAAACTAGCTAAGAGGAAATGTCACACGGTTCCCACCTGGCGGTCAAAGGCAGAGCTGCAGTAATCAATAATCAATAATCACACTGGACACTGTTTTTTTTTTTATAAGAGCCATAATTTATATTCAATACATGAAAAATATAACATAAAAATGAGTTTTTATGTCTCCAGTCTGTCTTTATGTGTACACTATATAACGGACATTTAAAGTAAAAATATGAACTATAATTGTTTTAAATATCTCAAACAGTAATATCAGTAGCGTCCTCTGCTTGCTGTGCTTCAATGAGCCCTCCTCAGTAGCTCTGCAAAGAGAAACAGACATTATCAGCAGTGTAAAACCTGTACTTATATGCCATTGTGCAGTTTCCAATTTCGTCCTGTTGCTGATAATAATGGCTGTGTATAGAATTAATTACAGCTCTCTGATATTTCTGCATTTGTGTAAGATATCTTTCATTGAAAGTAAAAGTACTAATGTAAACACTCCCTAATAAGTAAAAAACCCTGCATTCAAACAGTTATTTAGGGAGAGGAACAGAAGCATTGGCAGCTAACTGTAGTACTCATGAGGCAGCAGAATGACTCCCTCAGTGTTATATTATTAGATTATCTTTATTATTGATGCATTACTTACTGTGTGAGCAGCATTTTAATGTCCATTAAGGTGACGCAAACTTTAACTTTACATACTGTTGTTGTGTAATTTTAAAGCTGCAACAATTTATGCATTCATTGATTTGTCAGTTAAAAGAAAATGAATCATTATTTTGATAATGGATTAATCATTTCAGTAATTTTTCAAGCAAAAATGCCAAACATTTGCTGGTTCCAGCTTCTCAAATAAAATTATTTGTTGCTTTTTTTGTCATATCACCTTGATGTCTCTTTTTTTTCATTATGTAACCTAAACAAGTAATCAATTAATCGATAATGAAAATAGTCGTTGTAGCCCTACTCAACTCTATATCATAATGCATCCTGTTTTATAAGCTTTATGTATGTAACATCATAACATTTTCTATATCTAATACGTCTGTTTACCTCAATCATGTCATAGATCCAGCCCAAGAATTCGGCCACTTTGGTGTAAACTCCAGGATGGTTAGGCTCAGCGCAGCCTGTCCCCCAGCTGACAACCCCTACCAGCCTCCAGACATTGTCTTCCTGGCAAACCAGAGGACCCCCACTGTCCCCCTGGAGAGGTAGACACAAACACTGTTCAATACAAACTCACCATGCCTTCATTATGCCAGCGTTTCACCGTAAACAAATCACAGGGGGGAGAATGAATGTTTAAAATGTGTCTGCAAAGTGCTGTTTAAAAACATGCATCTGACCTGACATGCATCCACTTTTCCCTCTGTGTATCCGGCACAAAGCATCCGTGGCGTGATCTCTCCATTGTACATGCAGGAGCTGTTACACTTCTTTGTGCTTATTATGGGAACTGGCGCCTCTTTCAGGGTGTCAGGTGAGTGAACTGAGAGGGAAGACGCACATTTAATGCTGCTCTGTCAATGTACTTGGCACACGTATTCATGTGTGAATTAGACTTGCAGCAGATGTAAATTTGTTTTAGAGCGGCACAGTTGCGTCTTACCACCCTCAGGCTGTGTGTATCCCCATCCAGATATCCAGCACTGTGTGCCTCCTGGTAGATCATAGTCATACTGAGGCAAGCAGACCGGTCTAATTGTATCTAGTTAAAGGGGGGAGAAAAAAGAGCATTTTCCCCTTTACATTATAATTATGACAGGTTGGAACATGATACTTTGGATTAAATTATGAGTTTTCATTCAAATAATTTTTATTTACGCATACTATGTTTTTTGTTTTTTATCCCTGTAGTGGTTTTGTCTTTTAATGGCCTCCCTCGAGTTTACCTTGCACTCTGAATATGGTTGGGTTCACAAGCTATTGTTAAGTAAGACCCTTAAGTCCCCCCTTCACTCAAAAATGTGTTTTCCTTTCCTACCCTCACTGTGCAGAAGGATGTATGTGCAGAGTTTGACACTAAAACTTACACAAACTTGAAACCCCCAGTGCACATACGCTGAGAATCAAACATCTTTTATTCAATAGGTAAACTTTTGAAATATTTGGGAAAAAAAACTATATGGAAATTGTCACTCAAAGCAGAGTAATTGTATAGGTCCTGAAACATGTCTGCAGGGGATCTGTAAACTTAATTGAGGTTTTATTCCTACATTTGATCTGGTTATATAGGATGTTGTGGTTGTTGAAAGGGATTTAGTGTTGTGGTGCAACATTTGTTTGTATACTTTTGAATAAAAGTTTAGATCACTGCTCATTATAGTTACATAAGTTGGTACACCCTACACACTTGGCAATAATCGTTTATTCTGTAGGAGGTGAATACCACTTTTGTGGTGCTCCGAAGGCTTGTTTTCTGAAATGTGTCAGCATGAGAAAATGAAATGGTAAACTGAGGCCATACTATTGATTGTTTTGGTGTTTTTGGACTGCTGCTATCTTCCAAGGAGGCTCTCAGACTGACCTGAGAAATTCAGCGGGGTCCGCAGTTTCATCAAGGCTATATCACTGTCATGGCTCCTGTGGTTGTAGTTTTTGTTGTAGATGATCTTCTCCACAGCGTATCCCGTGTGTTGTGCCATTTTAGCCGAGCTGCGGGTGACGATACCTGCGTAGACCGCCCAGCTGGATACCTGAGGTAGCCTGTAGCTGACATTTTAGATAAGAAAAGAGGAGGCGGATAGGAGAGAACTGTCATGTGTCCAGTGTGGTGCAGCTGTTAATGACTGATAATTTTACTTCGTGTAGTCTGTAACCCCCAGACCTTTTTAGTGCTGGTAAGGTCAGCAGTCTTACTTGTGCACACAATGGGCAGCTGTGACTACCCATTGACTGGTGATGATGGATCCTCCGCAGGTGTGACGGTTGCTGTAGTAGAGGCTGACCTGCCAGGGCCACCTGCCCAGCGTGGCCTCGACTCCCCCTATTATCCTGGGAAGCTTTGCTCGTGTCCCACACTCTACACAGAGATCCATTCATCAAAAAAATAGTTGGATTGGTCAGAAAATCCTGCAGGGAGTGGCATTGTTCACTTGTCTTTCTCTTAATTATTATTAAGGAGCTACAGGGCTCGTTATTGGGTGCAAAGTCAAACAAAAAAGTTTAATTTGCTCACCAAAACATTGTAAAGCGATAACCTTTCCTGTGTTACAGCTCCCCCTAAATGAAAATAAATTGGGTAACTAATGATGCATAATTAATGTGTTAGTAGCCACAGTTTTCTCTGCATCATTTTGAGTAGGATTTCCTCAGACAAATTGCCTTACCTGAATTGCCACATATTTTCCAGGTTGCTCTTGTGTTCTGAGGTAATTTGTATAAAGCCATCAGTATAGTTTGGACCGATATCAGTTAGATTCACGCCTTTATGCTTGGTCAGTCTGGTAAGAGAACATATGAAAATTGGTGGCAGTGAGTATTAAGATAATTCAGACTCACAAGGTGTGACGCAAGATTGCAGATGAGGTATTTGCAGGTCATAAATAAGCTGAGCCTTCAACCTCGGCAAAGCAGGCCAAGATTAAACTATGAGTTAGTGAGTGGGCGCTCCAGTCTCAATTAGTGTTAAGGGCTGAGGTGGTGTGTGGGATCCTGTCAGGAGTGCAAACCTCAGATAACCCAGCTGTCTGCAAACCAGCGTTCCCAGAGAAGAGTTCCACCTCTCGTAGCACACCGGCAGCCAGGTGGGCAGCTTCCCCAGCTGGATCTCCAGGAGGGAGTTCTCTGGGCTGATTCTGTAAAACACTGAACCTGATTGATTGAAAAACCCTCCAGAGACAAGCTCTCAGTCAACAGTAATGAACAAGCCTCTTCTATGAGTGGGAAATGATTAGGAAAAACACAAGTATCTATGCTAATGTAGTCAATACAAACAGGTCATTATGTGTGATGTTTTCATGTATATCAATGGGCATCTCTCAAGAGTGATCAAAAGGCAACAAGAAGCAGCTGTTGAATGTTAATTTTGCTACTGTTCAACTAAAAATCACTTCAGAGGCGAACCATGACCCAGTATGTTGAATCGCGTAACAATGTGCAACCACACAATCCTGCACTGGCGGTTAATTCATAAAACTTTCATTTAAAAAATGCCTGCCTTCAACAAACACCAGAGAGATGAGGAAACACCGACCTTTCCTGGGGTCAGAGATAGAAATATCCTCTGTCACATTGCAGAAAGGTGTCTCCTTTGTGTCCCCAAGTCCCACTGGACTTTGGGAGTAGGATGGCCTCAGCAGAAGTTTGACTATATATAGATAAAGATATACATCAGTTAATTAGTTGTAGATAAAAGATATATCAGTTAATCAGCAGCGAAAACATGTTAATTTTCACTAAATGTTACCATATTATCTGAATTAGTGCCCAGAGATAGATAAACCCTGTATTGTAGAGAATATTTTGGAGGGTGTAATGAAATATTTCCATATCTACGAGTGCTGCTGATTAGGGAAAAAAAACTCACTAAAACAATACTCTAGACACTAGATGATTTTTTTAGGGGGGGTTTTGCCTGAAATCTTTCCTTCGAGACTTAAAGGGGTACTCAAGCAATTTATTATTGCTCTTCCATAAAGTTGGGGGACTTGCGACAAATAAAAATTAAGGGAGCAGAGAACATTATATCCTCATTTTTAGTCCCTGGTATTGGCCGAGCTCCAAAAACACTGGATCCTGTATTTCTAACATTTCCCATCAGAGTCAGTTTACTTTAAATTACTAAATTGATGCTGATGTGTAAGAAAGGTTAATACCCCTTTAATGAATTACACATTTTGACATATTTCTTTTAAAATATAGCCGTAGAATCTGTTTTCTGATATGAGAAGCAAAGTTCTGAATTACTTTTGCATCTTGTTAAAAGTTTAATTTAGTAAAAATAAATGGGAATAATTAATCAGTTAAAGAGTTAAACAC